CCCGCGCCCGCGCCCGCGGCCCAGTGACCTTCCGCGGCGACGCCGCCGCCGCTGGCTTCCCAACTTTGTTCCCTCGGTCCACACCGACACGTCGCCGCGCTCACGCAGCCTGGGGTGTAGACTCCCGAGAGACAGCTGGGGGTGCGGACCCTGTCACGCCGCCGCCCCAGCCCCTCGGCCTGCTGTCCTGCCCACCACCGGCCACCGCCGGGGCCTGAGGGCCGGCGGGGCTGATACCTGCTTTGAGCCTGCAGCCTCCCTCCCTCGGCCCCCGGCCGCACCCCAAACATCCCCCGCTTGGAACCTCCCCGGGGTTCCAGAGAAGGGGCACATTGCCGTTACTTTGACTCGCCAGAATCACGTCCAGGCTGTGCCTTGACATTTCCTTTGACTCAGTCAGCCTTGCTGTTCTCCTCCCAGTGACTAGTCAGGCCTGGGGAGAGGGTGACTGGGGTGCGCCCCCGCATTTCTAACCCAGAGGAGGTGCTTCTAGTAGAGAGAAATGACTGGCTGGGGCCCTGGAAGGTGACCCCCAGCGCAGCGTAGGGAGAAGGTGGGGGCGGGCCCTGGGTGGCAGTGGGGAGGGCGGGTCTGCCCTGGTGCTGGGGGTGGTGAGGGCAGGGGAGCAGGCTGGGGCCGGCCCCTCCAGTGTCTTCTGCGCCCCGACTGTTGGGGACGGTCCTTCTCAGGAGCCTTGGCCCTCGGGGCCTCCACACACTGGCAGCGGGACTTGGGGAGCTGCTGCTGGCCAAGCCCCACTGCACCCCGCACCCCGGGGTGTCTGGGGCACACTCAGGCGCAGTCGCGGTTCACCAGCCGGTCCCGGAACCCCTAAACCTCAGTAGTGGGAGGCAGCAGTGGCTCCCCCAGGAGCCCTCTCAACAGCCCCGCCCTCCCCACCCCTAGGGGCCGGTCCTCGGCGATGCCCAGTGCAGGTGAAGCCCACGGCCGGCCGTGTCTCACTGCGCGTTCCTGCTCCACAGGTGCGGCAGGGAGGAGTGAGGAGACCTGCCCCAGCGCCCCGCCCAGCCAGGATCGGGTGGCCGGGGCGCCTCCCGCCCTCCGGCGCCAAGGTAATTCCCCCAGCTGCTAGTGGCCGCCCCAACAGGCCTGTCCCAGGCCCCGCCTGATGTGGGCTGGGACGGGTCCGAGAGGCCCCGGTCAGGGCTGACCTCAGCTGTCCCTTGGGGTGGTGCAGAGCCCAAGCTCGCGCTGCTGTTGCACGGCCCTGGCGGCCCGGGCCTAGGGGAGCAGGGGCGGGCGGTGAGCCGTGAAGTGAGGCTCCTGGGCTGCACACCCCCAGCCGCCCTGCCGGCCTTGGGGAGCCCCTGAGCAGGCTCAGGCCGTGCTGGGTGAGGACAGAGCATGACCAAGTGGGTGCATGGGGGCCGGGTGTCGTCCTCAACACCCAAAGCAAAGGGACAGTTAAACCCCGGGGCCTCCCTGTGGCCGGCGTCAGGCTCTGGCTGTCACGGCGGTGGCCTGAGTGTGGTCCCTGGCCTGGGAGGGACCCCCAGGGCGCAGCAGGCCCCTCCTGTCTCCCCACTGCTCCCAGCAGTGGGTTTCAGTGGATCTGCCCGTTCTGCTCCCCAGTCTGTCTCTGGGGATCCTTCTCACCCCTGCGCTGCTGGCCTGCACCCCGGTTCTACACATACATAAATAAATCTTTTTTAAAAATAAAGGATACGTTTAAACTCACCTGGAAACAAATCAGAGGGTCCTGACACCCTCAGGTGCGCCCCGCGGCCGCGGCCCCAGGCTTGCTGTCGCTCCCAAACTGCGCAGGCTCGGAGCGGGGTGCGAGCAGCAGGCAAACGGCCTCGGGAGGTGGAGGCAGCAGCGCGTCCACCCGGGGACCGAACCGAGAACGATCTGACCCGACTCACTAGTTCAGGGACCTCTTAGCTGTCACGCTCCACAGCAAGAAAGTGAAGATTCTAGAAGACCACAGACCGGGCGCACTGAGTGCGCCAGAGGAGGCAGTCCTGGCTCCCGGAGCGCTCGGTCCACACGGGTCCGTGGAAGGGCGCTGGGAGCTGGGGTCCGGCCTGCGTCTGGGCCCGGGGAGCTCCCCACGGAGAGGCCGCCGCGGCTGCGCCCCTGCAGGCTCCGGATCTCAGGGAGTCACATTTCATCGTGACACTGCTGGCCTCTTTGGTGTGGCTGCGCCTGTGTGGCTGCGACCCCCGTGGCTGCTTCTGGAGAGCTCAGCCGGGTCCTGGCAGGCAGTGGGTGGCGCTTTGGGCTGTTACCCTGGCCCCGAGCCGCTGGCCAGCCTGGCCTCATGCACCCGCGGCTCACCGTCTGAGCAAATTCCTCTCCTCTTACGGTCCCCAACGCCCCCAGGTGTCTGACGGGGTCGTGACAGGAGGGACGCTGCTGGGGTGGCTGCCCCGGCCCAGGGCCTGAGCTGCAGAGGTTTCCGGGGGGCCCCTGGCAAAGAAGGCCACGGCTGCCGGCGTGGGCACCCGGCCCAGCGCTCCCCGTGGTGAGCCCTGTCCGCCAGCCCAGCCCGCCAGCCCTTTGAGCCCGCACGTCCTGACCGCTCGGGGCCGGGCAGGCGTGAGCCCGTGGCTGCACCGCGGCCAGGGCCAGCCCGTTCTGGGGAGATGAGGGTCGCGCGCGCAGACGGTGGACGCGAAGGTCCCTGTCGGTCCTGGGGTGCGCGTCCAGCCGGCTGAGCCCTGGTGGCCTTGGGCCGTGGGGGGCTGGGGCAGGGCCGGGACCCCGCCCTTCGCCGCTGGGTGCTCCAAGGGCGACAAGCAGCAGGTTCAGGCGTTGCCAAGTGGGGGTCACCCAGGCCAGAGCTCCCGGCAGCAGCCCGCGGCGTCCGCACCTGCAGGTAGGAGATTTGAAAAGCACCCTTTGAAGTCCTGAGGGTTCAGACCCTGGGGCAGATGCAGGCGGTGGGGTGCTGGCTGCCTCGGCGGGTCTGGAGCCTGAGACCCAGCCTGACTGCAGCCAGGGCGCTGGGGGTGGAATCGCCCCCGACCCTGCAGCCGGCCCTTGGCCAGCTCTCGGCCCTGGGAGAGTCCAGCTGGAAAGCAGGCGGCGTCAGTCCCCAAGTCCCCTGGCCTCCTCCAGTGGGGCCCCAGGCTCGCCCCGGATACCGGATACTCCTGAGGTGTCCCGAGGAGCTGTGCTGTGGCCTGTCTGCTGAGTCCAGGCTGCGCCTCGGGGGCAGGGGTGTGAGGTGTTGGGGTGTCCTCTGCACCCTGGCAACCAGGGCAGACCTCCATCTGGGGGTGCTGTGGACTTTCTCTGTGCTCAGGTCCCTTTGTAGTGGACACACATGGGGGAGAGGCCCTGAGGCTGCGCTGGCTACATCTGGGGGGGCTCCGGCTGGCCATTCTGGAACGACGGCCTGAGGCCTGGCCCCGTGGGGGTCACAGGAGACAGCCTGGCTTGGCGAGCAGTCGCCAAGTGGAGAAAGCAAGGCAGTTACGGGGGAAGACACCACCGTCTGACTACTTTCAGTATCTTGAGCGAGCCCGCCCTGGAGGTTTGGGGGCGCCCCTGGCCCGTTCAGGTAGACAGGCACGCCCCGCTGAGTTCACTCCGGATCCGCCGCCTGACTGTGTTGGGAGACAGAGACCTTCCTGAAGTCTTGATTTTCCCAAATCGGTTTGGAACCGGTAACGAGCCCCGTGGAGCGACGTCGCCGCCTGGCGGCTGCGGGGAGTACTGCGAGGGGGCGGCCGGGCCCCGCGCCCCGCGGGCCTGCAGCGCCGCCCTCTGGGACCCAGGCCGATACCAGGGGGGCAGTGGGGCGGCAGCGTTGTGGGGACCTCGGGGGCTCTCTGTTTTTCTTTTAAGATTTATTTATTCATACAGAACTGGGGGACAGGCCAGAGGCGCAGGGGCCGTGAGACCATGCGGCAGATCCACAAAGCCCACTGCTGAGGGGGCAGCGGCCGGTCAGGAGAGGTCTGTCCGCCCTGGGGGTCCCCTCCCGGGCAGGGGATGGAGTCGCACTGACAGCGTCCTAACCCCTTGCCCCCCAGGGAGGGCCCTGTTTTTGTTTTCTTTCTGTGGAGAACTGGAGTTCAGGCCAGAGGGGGACATGGGGGTGAGAGGACGCCAGAGACAGAGACAGAGCGGGGAGCAGAACAGGCGGCTCCACCGAGACCCGCTGCTGAGGGGACAGCAGGGGACAGACGGGGTCTGCCGCGCCTGGGGTCACTCCCTGGTGGGGATGGGCTCAGGGCTCAGCGGTGACCGCCAGAGACTGACCTCGGTCCCCAAGGAGGCCGGGTCCTCTGCTCTGCCTTTTCGCAGACTGAGAGGACATCTCACGCAGAGGGGCCGCCCCCGCGAGAGCCCCCCGGGCACGCGCCTTGCTCACACAGAGCGGCCTCCCCACGCAGGGGGCCGCGCCTCTGGTGGTGTGGGTCGCTGCGTCGCTGCCGAGCGGCCCCACCCGCGTCCCCCAGTCTCGCCTGTGCCGGAGGCCGAGGGGCGGGGTCGCCCCAGCACAGCCCGGCCACTTCTCCACCTGGTGTCCTCATGGCCTGCCTGCCCACCGTGGCGAGGGTGACCTTGCCCCTGTCCACAGCCGCGGGTCCTGCAGTGGACTGGTGGTGTTGTGGGCTCAGGGCCAGGGCTGACCCTGGTGGCCAGAGGGGCTGGGGCCAGTGGGGAGCAGGCTGGCCGGAGGCGGCGGATGTCAAGGGTGGGCTGTTCTTGCAAAGCCAGCTGCTGAGAGGACTTCACGAGGTTTTGTTTTAGGGAACAGAGACCTCAGGACCTGCACCTCCTGAGTGGCCGCAGGCTGGGGTCCGGGCCACCCCCCTCCAGGGGGGCACACCGCGGGCTGGGCGGAGCAGGCCTGGGCTCCGCGCCACAGCGCCCCGTCCCGCGCCCCAGGGCCCAGGCCCCCCACTGACCGGCTTCCACCTCCTCCCTCAGGACGCAGCCTGGGGACCCCGGCTTCCTTGCCCGGCAGCAGGAGCGACCCCTCTGCTGGGGGCGCGGGGCCGCCATGCCCCTGCCCGAGCCCAGCGAGCAGGAGGGCGAGAGCGTGAAGGCCGGCCAGGAGCCGTCGCCCGAGCCCCCCGAGCCGGGCACCGATGTCCCCACGGCCCCCACGAAGCCCAAAGATTTCTCCAAACTGGCCCTGCTGACGGCCTGCAAGGACAGCGGGGGGGCGGGCTCCCCGCCCCAGGGAGTGCCCTGCGTCGTGTCCCTGGAGATGCGCATCCCCAACACCCAGACCAGCACCCCCCAGGCCCTGCCGACAGAACAGCAGGGGGCGTCACTCCAGCTGAGCCCCCAGACCCCTCAGCGGCCGCGTGGCCAGCCAGACACAGGTGAGTCCACCCGCTGGCCCGGCCCGGCCCTTGCTGCGGGTCTCTGGTCACCGCCTGCGCCGGGCCACCTGGCCAGCGGGGCTCCTGCCCGTGGTTCCCGGCCTGCTAACCCAGCCCTGCCCTCACAGCGCCCCCGCCCCTGGAGTTCCTGAGCACCCCGTTCGGGGGCCGCCTCCTGGTGCACCAGTCCTTCCTGTACAAGCGGGAGAAGGCCGTGGGCGACAGGGTGTACTGGAAGTGCCGCCAGCACAGCGAGCTGGGCTGCCGGGGCCGGGCCGTCACCCGCGGCCCCAGGGCCACCGAGATGCGCGGCCACTGCCACCCGCCCGACGAGGAGGGGCTGGAGGCCCGGCGCCAGAAGCAGAAGCCGCCCAGCCCGGCCCTGCCCGACGGCTCGGGGAGCCTGGAGGACCCCCATGCCCAGGTGCAGGAGCCGCTGGGGGCGGTGAGCCCGTGGCTGTGTCCCCAGGAGCCCGAGCCAGCACCTGCAGGGGTGCCGAGCCAGCGGGCCCCGGAGGAGGAGGGGCTCCGAGCCTTCTCGCTGCTGAGCTTGCCCCCCAAGAAACGCCCAACCTTGGGGTTCGGTGAGTGCTCCCCTCCTGTGCCCGAACAGAAGTGCGGGGCTCACACTGGGAATCAGCAACTTCGCACAGCACAGCCGGGTCCCCAGCGCTCTGAGCCGCGAGCCCACGGCCCCGAGCTGCCGGCAGCTGTGCCAGAGCCCTGGGGCCCCCAGGCCTTCTGGGACTCTGGGGGGCCGGGGGGTCTGTGTCCGGGGAGAGCCCGAGCCACCTGTGCAGCCTGGCAGCTGGGTGGGCACCAGGTGGGGGCTGCCCTGGTTTTATTTCCAGTAACTGGGGGCGGGCTTGTCCCGAAGGTTGGTGCCCCCAGCCCAGGAGGAAGGGAAGGGCCTCGGTGCGCTGTGCCTGGGTACCTGGGCTGGGGGCCCAGAGGGAGGTGTGTTTGCTCACCATGTGGTGTCCGTGCCACTGGAGTCTGGTGGCGGGTGTGTCGTTCAGAAGTTAGGTAGACTTTAAAACAAACCCTAGAAAAAGGGCCTGCAGTGACTTGGCTGCAGGCTGCGGAGTGGGAGCCTGCGGCCTTCCAGGTGGGGGACCTTGGACATGGCCTCGAGCCACTCAGCTTTGGCCGCTCCACACTGCTGGGGCTCCTCCCGGGGCGCTGAGTGGGGTGGAGCGGGGATCCCCAGCCCCAGCCGTGCACACGGTCCCAGGGCTGGGTGGCCAGAGCTGCCCCCTGAAGGGCCGCCCCGCCCCCGGCAGGGCCCCCGCCCCTGGAGTTCCTGCGGACCTGCTATGGGGGCAGCTTCCTGGTGCACCAGTCCTTCCTGTACAAGCGGGAGAAGGCCGTGGGCGACAGGGTGTACTGGACGTGCCGGGACCACGCGCTGCATGGCTGCCGCAGCCGGGCCATCACGCAGGGCCAGCGGGTGACCGTGATGCGGGGCCACTGCCACCCGCCCGACGTGGAGGGCCTGGCGGCGCGAAGGCAGCAGCAGAAGGCCATGGGGACACTGCAGGCCAGGCCGGACGGCACCAGCAGCCACGCAGATAAAACGCGCCCAGGCGTGGACAGCCTGACGTGCCGCAGGGGCCCCGGCACCCTGACCCTCTCTGGGCCGCGGCCCAGGAAGCGCGCCATGGCCCAAGGCCAGCCCCAAGCACTGCAGGGCCCCTCCGAGGACCAGGATGAGGAGCCGGGTGAGACCCCACACCCTCTGACCGGCGCCCCTCTCAGGCTTGCTTGCGGAGGTCCCAGACGCAGGATGCAGGATGCGGGCA